TTAAATTCATAACCCGCAATGACTCAATTAATTAATTCTACAAATATTTCTTGTGTCAGGAAATGTTTGAGGGGCTGGAGATTTGGCAATGACCAAGACCAAACGCCAGAGTGGGGCCCTGTTCAGGTACCTCCCATTCTAATGGGGAGAAGAAAGACAGTAGATGTACACGTGTCCTGGGGTGAGAAGTTCCATATGGAGATGAACTAAGGCAGTAGAAGAGACAATGGCTAGGTGGCCCTTGAAAGCCACAAGGTGATCGCTGGGGAAAGGATGACTGTAAGGATATCAGTTGGCACATGAGGGGCCATAGGAAGGCCAGGGTGGCCGAGCAGAGGAGTGGGAGACAGCACAAGGGGTCAGGGGTTGGGGCTGAGAGAGAAGCAGGGGCCAGGTCAGGAAGAGCCTTGTGAGCCAGGGGAACGAGTGTGGCTTTTATGACAACCGCAGAAGTCATGGGCAGGTCTTAAGCCCATGTATGACCTGACTTGTGTTTTGTAGAGATAGTGGGGACAGCAGAGGTGGAAATGGGGCTGAGACCAGGGCTCTCCCTGTAGTCCAGGCGGGAGGTGGTGGTGGCTTCGACTGGAGTCGGAGAGGCTGAGTTAAGCTGGTGGACTCCAGAGATTTGGAGATGGAGATGTAGACCTTGCTGCTGTACTGGCCACTGGTCCAAGGCACCGAGACCTAAAGCATGACCGTCAGGGTTCGTGCTGAGAAGCAGTGGTGGCCAGTGAGGCCATGGATGGAGGTGAGGAAATGGTGTGTTGCAGGGTGGTGGAGGGGGAGCTAGGAGTCATGCTAGGCTGCGAAGAGACACCTGTTTGCAGGAAGTGAGCCGCCGGAGACCCCCAAGTGTGGAGATGAGTAGGGAAGTTGAGGCTGGACATACACACTTGGAGTCAGATATACATGAGGGGATTTGCAGCCCTGGACCTGGGTGAGCAGCCCTGGGCCGGGACAGTGTGGGAGACAGAGGAGGGAGATTGCTCGAGGCGGAGTCTAGGCACCATGGGTGCCGAGGCCTGGCAGAGGGGAGCCAAACCAGCCGTGGTGCCCAGCTGGCTTCTCTCATCACCCACGCTGATTGCAGCAGGGCCATTTGTCATCACCGGGCTGTGAACACAAATGTGGGCTCTGAACACCTCTGTATGTATTCCCATAATCTGAACATGCTTGTCACACTCTTTTGTTGAAGTTTAGCATAAAAGGTGAAATAGAAAATTAAGTTCCCGTAAAGAACATGAGAGTCCTGGAGAATATGTTCTGTTTCAAAGGTTAAAGGCAAACCTCCAGGCAAAAGTCAGCGGCATTTAAGCTAGCCTCACCTGGAATTTCATAGAACAAGCGCCCCATACACCAGCTCTTCCTCAGCCCTGCTCTTGGAAGACAGCTTCGGAAGCGCCTCACTGCTGGCTCTCTGTGCAGTTGGCTATGTTGCCACCACCCTGAGGACCCTCCGTGTTCCTGGGCAGGGATTGCCCTTCCTCGGGCTGGGCTCCCTGCTGGGCTGCACTCCCATGTGAGCAGAGCATCTGTCAGCCTGCAAGGCCACCATCAGAAAGCCTCTCTCTTAGGAGCAGGGCCTTGCCTTTCTAGGAATCCCTGTTCAGAAAGTCATGATCCCTGTGTGTCAGAGAGTCTGGAAAGGAGGACGCTTGTTTTTAAATTAAGAGGTGTAGGGTGGAGATGCAAGGAGCAGCGTAGGGAAGTTCCCAGTTGCTTCTAGCTTTAATGGTAGAGACAGCAAGTCACCTCGGAGCAGATCTTGGCTTCAGGAGGAATTCCTGAGGGTCCTTAGCCGTGAGTTAGGTAGATACTCCATGCCTTAGGGAAAGGATGTCTGTCTTGGCAAAGAAAGGATGATGCTTTCACTCAAGAAGTTCTTGCAAGAAGAGAAATGAAGCCTGGGCCGCATTCCTTTTAGGGTTCACCATTGGAAGAAGCTCTCTGTTGGCCTGAGTTGGCCCATGGCTGAGGTTAATCGACAGGAAAGGACCCCTGAGGACACTTGCTGGAAGAAATAGGAGTGTGGCATGGGGGCAGCAGCACGGTCCTGAAGCCAGGGACTTGTGTCGAGGGAATGACTCTGAGTGACCAACCATTGTAGCTACAGAGAAGCCATTCCAGGAAGGCTCTTTGGAGGCCAGACAGAAGGATGATCTGGCGATGCTGGGGCCGTTCCAGTCCCTTCCATGTGCACATTCTAGGGAGGGAGCTGGCCAGGGCTTATCATGCCCATTTTATAGGAGTGAAAACCAAGGCTCTCAGAAGGGAAGGCACTTAGCAGATGTCAGATCCATGAATCTTTGCCTCCAGCTTCCAGGGGTGGGGGAAGGGTGAGTGTCCCATTTGCTTCTCATGTGCGGGTTAAATAATTGGATGTAAATCAAGATGGAAAGGACCATTTCAAATCTGAGGGCCTGTCTGGTTTGGAAAAGCCTAGAACTTATAGCCACAGAGAACTGGATCTGAATATCACCTCTGCCCTGTACTGCTTTTTTGACCCTTAGTAAGTCGCTTAATCCTTTTGAACCTCAGTTTACTGACCTGTAAAATGGGAACAATCTAGGTGCCTCCTAGGCTTTCAGAGTGAGTGGAAAGAAGTAATGTATAGAGGCTCTGGGGAACTGGCCCCGGGTGTTCTTCAACTCCACACTGGTGTCACTGTCCGTGTGCCCATCTTGAGTCCATCACTACCACCAAACTGCTTCTGTAGGGCAGGGTCCTATCTTGTTTCTCCGAATCCCCAAGACACTGCAGGGTCAACCCCTAGGGTATGAGTGGACGCAGGCTCTCAAGGCGCTGGTGGGTTCAGATGCCAGAGGAGAAAGCAAGTGGAAGTCTCCCTAGAAGAGGGTAGAAGTCAGGGCTACACATACAGGGCTGTAGTCACCCCGAGAAAGCGAAGTCACCCTGGCTCTGCGCATGTGTGGCTTACGTCCCGTGTGTTCAAGGAAGATGCAGCCTCTGAGAGACAGCAGATAAGATGAGGCCGCACAGGACTAGGATGGAGAGGAGTCACAGCAGCGCCTGGAGCCGGGGCTGGGGGGCACTGTTGGAGCCAGGCATGGAGAGCCTGCGGTCAAGTGGTGTCAAGGAATATGTCTGGTACTTTCCTCAGGGCTGACTTTGGCATTGGGCAGGGGACGGTGGGGCGGGGGAGTGAGTGGTCCAGCGGAGTGAGTCACCAGCTAGGTGGGCCAGTGAGTCTGCCCAAAGCTGAGGCCCCCACTTGGAAGTGCAGCTGCTTACCCTTCCTCAAGGGACCGCCTCTGGGCCCCACATAGCGCTGGTGGGGTGCAGGGTGCGGGGGCAGGAAGGAGGAGGAGCCTTTCCCTCCTGCCCTGGGGCCAGGGGCCTTGACTGCAGCGCAGAGACACCAGCCCAGCCCACCGCATCTCAGGCCTCCTCCGTGGCAACACAGGACGGGGGTGGGGGTGGGGTGGGAAACCCAGAGGCAGGTATGAGGCTGGTGGGCAGCTGGACCGGATATGGTCGACCCGAGCTGAGCTGGGAAGTGGCCCCTAGCAGGGGCCAACAGCTCCCAGGGCCCCTCCCTCCGGCCCTTCCCCAGGCTGGCCCTGCTCTGTCCTGGGGTGCCCGCGGGGGCCCAAGCCTCCCGGTCACACTCTGGCCTCCTGCCCTGGGGGCCTCGGGGCTCTGCAGTGGCTGCAGTCAGGCGAGAGTGCACAGGAGTGGGTTCGGGGCCGAGGCATCCCTCCGGATCCTCACCGGCCTCCCGGGGAGGACCCGCGTAGGTGGCCAGTGGGCAGAGGAGCTCTCTGGGGCCTGATGGCATGGCAGCCTTTTAGTAATGACAACAGTGGCCTTAAGAGCAGTGATGGCTGCCACCCACTGTATGCAGGGACGTGTCAAGTTTGGGCACGTGGCCACTTACGGAATCTCAGGTTGGTGGTGGGCACTACTGGCTCTCGGAGAGAAGCTCCATGGCTCCCCCACTGCCTGGGCCTGCCCCAGAGCCCTGCCCGGAGCGGCTGCCCCCAGGGCTAGGGGCCCGGGTGGGGACCCCACAGGGCCCTCCTAGCTGCTGCTCCCCGGGGAACCCAGGCGAGGGCGGCAGCGCCCAGCACCACCCAACCAAGGGGAATGGTCTGGGCGGGGGCCGCCTCAGTCACATCCTTTGCCTGCTGCCAAAGATCCCTGTCTGGGCTCAGCCGCCAACCCCACCCCCTTCCTGACGTTGGCGTGCCTATCGGAGTGCCCTTGCCCATCACACTCCACCTCTGACCCAGGATGGTTCCTCACCCTCCACCGGGAACGCTGATGCTGCAGAGGCCCTGCTTTCTTCACTGCTGCTGGCCCATCGGACAGGGACCTCCCAGAAGTGCTGGGAAGGAGTCCCCCCTCACAGGCAGCTCACCCTCCACTCCATCCAGGGCGCCGGGGACCCCGGGGCCAGCCTGCACTCTTGGGGCTCCCTCTGCTCTGGGGAGGGGTGCTGCGGACCAACTCTGGGGGAGAGGGGCTGGAGTCTGGACAGAGGGAGGACACAGTGGAGGCCACAGGCCTGACCTATCTCCCCTCCAGCCTGGCCCCTGATTCCTAGCAAATCAGGGAAACAGGCCTGTCCTGTTTGCCTGGCGCTTCTCTGGTTTTAGCCCTGGAAGAGCCACGTTTTAGGTAAACCTCCCAGCCCTGGCAAACTGGGACAGTTGGTCACCCTCCTCTCAACGGAGTCAAGGATCAAGATGGATGGGTCGGGGGAGGGGGGCAGGATTGGTACCTTAGAGTCCCCATAGATGCCGGCCATGCGGTAGTAGGAGAAAACTGAACGGAAATAAGGCAGGCGAGTCACCTAGCCCGGCTCTGGGTTTGTAGCAGGGCCTCGGGGCAAGAGCACCCCCCACACTCAGCACCCTCTCTCCTTCCCATGCCCCCCACCGCCCAGGACCAGCCCCCACCCCAGAAGACAACCAACCATCATCTTTATAAGTACATTTTTATTGAAAATAAAAAAGGCATGGTACTTTCGTCCTTGTGAGTAGCATCCATGGCCCCCCAGTGCTGGCGGTCCTGCTCCGTCCACAGCAGCGGCTCGCTGGTGGACAAGACGACACAGACTTGACATCCGTCCCTGGAGTCAGGACTCCTAGAGACAAGAGGCCTCTTCCTGCGTGCACTTGGCGCACCGTCGGGAAGGCAGGCCTCGGGGTATTTACATTCATGCATTAGACAGCGCCCGCGACCCGGGGTGTCCAGGTCGGACTTTGTACAGAGCCAGAGAGTACGGGAACTTTGTATAGATATAGATATCTCTTTAAATATATATATATATGACTATATATAATATATAGGTCTATATTTTTTACAGCTATTAGTCTTCCAAAACTTGCTTTAGAAGCTTCTAAGGAACACCTAAAAACTCTGGGAGATCCTATATGCCATTCTAAGCTGGGCTCAACTAGGAGACAGTTAAAAAATATCTATTTGAGAAAACGCAGAGAAGAAATGTGCATTTCGTTCTCAGCTTCAAAGTCTGGGCAAGTCTGAGGATTGGTCTGTGTCTAGGGACTGCAGATACATTCCTTAAATAAAAGTTCTGAGCTCAAATGCCAGGCTGTGGGGTTTTTTTTTAGGGTCACTTTTTGTCACTGAAGCCAAAAATCCGGTGAAGTTCTCTTGCAGCACGTGGGAGAGTTTCCAAATGGCCAGTTCTAGGATTGGTGGGTTGAATTCTCATGTGGGTACTTTTTCTTTTTTTAAACTGGGTTCTTCTCTTGGTTTCACTAACTGAGCAAGAGGTTTTACACACCCAATTTGGGGGAACTTACGCACAAATGTTTGCTTTTCCCAGAGCCTTGGCTGTGGCCCCAGGGAAGGGGATGCTGGCCCCAGAGCGTGGTGGGTGGTCGTCAAGGTTCCTCATGGGGAGCTTTGCCAGGGCCTGAAGGATTTGGCCAATTGTAAAACCTCCTAGGTTGAAGCCTGGGTCAGGGAAGGTGGGGCCAGTGGGATTGTGCAAAGTTGGCCTGTGCCCTGCTTCCCTGGATGTCTCTCCAGGCTGGCTGCCCACTGCTCCATGACTCCTTAGCCCAGGTTCTCCCTTTTCCCCCTCATTTCTGAGCCTGGGGTGGCCTGTGCACAGGGCAGGGGTCCTGCTTGGGTATCTGTTCAAGAAACGGCTGGGGACTCAGCGTGAGGGAAGGCGCCTTGCTGCAGACCTGCACCCTCTAGCCTCTTGTCACTGGCTCTGCATCCCTCTGGGAAGTGGAAGGCATGGACGGAGAGGACCACAGAGCACTCACCGGCTTGGGGCAATGGCCAAGGTCACGGTGACACGGTGCCACGCTAAGGTAGGCAAGGAAAGCAAAATCCAAACTCAAACCCCAAACAGGTCCTCGCACAGAAGGAGAACTGGAAAGAAAGACCCTTTCTGCTAGGATGTGGGCCTGGGCCTATCCTCAGCCTCCTGCTGACCTTGGGGAGAGGACCTGGGTTGGAGTCACAGCAACTCACCTTCTCCCCTCTGCTCTCTGAAACACAACGGAACACAGGCAACTCCAGGGGCGCAAGGGCTCCAGGACAATGGATTTCCAAGGTCCGGGCTCACATGGGGACTCGTGTGCTGTCAGGCTTACCTGGATGGGCAAGTCTCACCATGGCCCAAAGGCCCTCCTGGGAACTACACTGGTGGCCTGGGCGGTGGGCAGGGTCCGCCTAGCTAAGTCCCCACGCCGGGAGGGTAGAGCCGTTAAATGTGTCTGGTTCCTTCTGAGCAACTGGATGGGACGTGAGGGAACCCTTGGGTGGGGAATGTCCTCCCAATCCACCGGGGGAGGCCAAGCCACAGGCCACGGTCTCCACGGGGCTAATGACATGCCCACGGGGCCAGGGGCCACCTGGGATTCCCAGGCCTGGAGAGGCCTCGCCTTCCATCCTCCTTCCTTCCCTTTGTCCACCAAGCCTTCTGGAGGTTTCGGCACTTTTAGAACACAGGACCTCGGGAAGAGACATTCGAGAGAACACCAGTGCCTGGTGGGTGAGGGGAGGCTGAGGGCACTAGAGAGGGGGGTTGAGTACCCGGCCAGGGCCTCAGGGGGTCGTAGGGGTGACCCAGTGCCAGGCCGGGTCAGCCTAGCCCAGAGTGCCCACGGTGGGCTTGGCACAAGGGTGGCCTCTGCCGGGGGAAGGCAGGGCCTGGCTCACACGGAGGCATCAGCTCCGATGAGGATCAGGTGTGGGAATGAGTCTGAGGACAGGCAGAGGGGCCTCTGTCCTTCCTGGCGCCTCGGCCTGGTGTTCGGAGAGTTGTTTGGCCCCTGGAAGGTCAGACACTAGGTCTGGGTGTAAGAGCCCCTCTGCGTGCTCAGTCAGGAGGGGGCTTTGCAGGCTGGGCTCACAGCCTTCCGTGGCAGGGGGTCAGGAGTCAAGAGCCAGGGGTCGGGGTGTGGTGGGAATGGGTGGGAGACAGTCACAGAGGGGGTGACAGACAGATGGGTGGGAAGCACCTTTGGAAGGGGACATCTCATGGCTGTGCCGATGTCTTCCGTGGGGATGCAAGGTGAATGGAGAAGCGGACGGGCTTGCTGGGGAGGAGGAGAGGTTTTCCAGCTGGGGAGGGATCCCCGGATCACCTTTCTCTTGGCTAAAGTGGGAGGCCTCCCCAGCCCAGCAGACAGACAGATTCCCTGGCTTCGTCAGAGCGCGGCTGGGAGATGGTAAATCAAATACAAGCCAGGAAAGAGACGGGCAACCTGGGGCAAGGCTGGGGAGCGGATGGTGTCTTCTTCAGAAGTCCCAGACAAGCCCGGTCTCAGCTCCTGTCACCTGCTCTCCCGTGTTCACTAAAGCCACCAATGTGCCCCTCTGACCAGCAGGTCCAGAGTCTGCAGACTCACACCACGGCGCTGTTCACGTCGGCCCCTTTGTTGCTCGGCGAGGAGGTCATGGGATACTCAGCAACACTGGTGCCGTTCTCTTCTTTTCTCAGTGGTTTCCTGGGAGGGGAGGCAGGGACATCCATTAATGACCAGTGACTGGGGTGGGGGTATTGTGTCCTTCCGGTGAGCCCACCGGGCTCTGTTCCGGGTTAGCATCCTTGGGCTGCTGGGCCTCGTGGGGGCCAATAGGATGCTGGAGGTGGTCTCAATGAGGGTGACCACGTAAAGTGTCATACACACCAGGGCACGGTTGAGAGCGGAACAGGGGAGCTTTTAATAATGAAGCAGGGATAACAGGAATGGATTGGGACTCTTCTGGACAAATGAGAATGGAGAACGTATGGTCACCCTAGTAGGACATGTAGTCAGGCTTTGCTCTCTTTGATTATGAGCACGCAGATGTGAGGATGAATATTTGGGGGTGAAAAGCAGAGAGGTGCCAGAGATTGGATTTTGCAGCTCCCTCTGTGTGATCAGAGGTTAAGTGGAAAACATGATGAAGAAGATGGCGGAGGAGGTGATGCTGGTGGCAGTGATGGGGTTTGAGGTGGTGGGAATAGTAATGTGGGTGGAGGTGGTGACGGTGGTGGCTATGGTAATGACAGTGGTGACAATAGTGGTGGCTGTGGTTGTGTTGATGGTGGTGGTTGGCTTGATGGCGGTGGTTATGGTAATGGTGCAGCCGATGCTGGCATTAGTCACGGTGGTGGTGGTGTTGGGTTGATGGTGGCAGAGGTGGTGGTAGTAAAGTTTCAAACTAAAGGAGTGCACCCTAGTGGTTTTCGAACACTTGATGTTGGGCCACTTGAAGCTCATTCCAGACTTGAGAGTCTGGTGTCTATGGGATAGAGTCTTAGGTGAATTAGTTTAGGGGAGGCAGGGTCTGCAGGGTGGTTGTTAGCAGTTTCACGGGTGGGATTCTCAGGCCCATTCGGAGGCGACACCCTGAGATCACAGCTATTAACTCTTCCCTTTTTTCTTGCAGCAGAATTAGCTCACGAAACAGAGAGAAACCCAAGTGTGCTCACTCGGGGTGTCAGGCTCAGCCATGGTGGCTTCCAGAAATGTGAGATGCAAACCAGCACTTCCTCCTGCAGTGCATCACACTTTGTGCAAAGCACTCTCCGTTACAGATTTTCTTGTCCCCTCTCCCAATGGTCCTCTGGAGAAGCTAGGCCTGGGGTTAAGGGATTCATCTCATGGAGAAACTGAGGCTTAGGGAGAGCGGTGACTTGCCCAAGGTCCCTGAGCTGGTTGGTGTCTGGGCCTGGACTGCCACCTGCTCCTACCATATCCTTGCCCAGACAGCTTTTCATGAAGTCAGCATCCCCCAGCAAGGGTTGTCCCCTGGCTCGGGGTCTGGATCCTATCACCTCCCACCACCCTCCTCCTGGAGAGTTCCAAAAGTTCTGGAGAGGCCTCCAAGAGGCCTCGTTTTGCTTTAACCCAGCACATTCCCCAAACCCTATTTATGGAGATACTCACGGACACTTCCCAGAGGCCCCGGGTTGGTAGGGGTCAGACAGTTGCCTTGTTTGTTATAGGCTCGTGGAAACCGGCCTTTGTCCCTGGGTCTCCTTCCTCGCTCCCCTCTGCCCACCTACCTCTTCCCAGGGGCTTCGAGCAGTTCTGACTTTGCTGGGTGGGTTTCATCTCCGACTCTGAGTTTGCAGGGTCTGGGAAATTGGGGAGGGGGTGCGTTTTCTTATAGGGAGAGCCCACGCTGATGGGCTCCAGCCAGAATCCTACATTTGTCATCAAAATTCGAGGGGGAGGGTGGGCATCAGAAACGGGAGTCCAGGAACCACGAATGGGAAAAACCTCGGAGCCCAAACCCACACAGCTTTCTCCCTAATAAATGTTCAGTTTTGGGCCCGGTCTGAAAAATCAACCGGAGCAGGTCTGGGTCAGGGGAGATAACGCTGAAGAGCCTTCCAGAAGGGATACTGGAGAGATGAAAAAAGGGGCCTGGAACCCCATGGAAATGGGCAAAGCATGGAGGGCACAGAGTTTCCACCTCTTTAGGGTGAGGGGAGGATATCAGCGGGATTTCTTCTGCCAGGAGAAGAGGCGACATTTCCACGGCCAGGCTGCTGGCTAGGAGAGCCTTCTGCAGTCCCCGGGGCCTTGGAGGGAAATGCTGGCACAGAGGGCCTGGCAGGAAGCAAGCCTGGCTGGAGGGACACTGAGGACAAGGCAAAGGGACAGCCCCAGGGCCTTGCCAATGGTCCTAGCCAGCTTCCCAAGCAGGACAGGACGGAGGGGGTGTGGGCAGGGGCTCCACCCAGCAGAGTGGCACCTGTGGCTGGCACAGCCTCCCCCACCCCCGGACCACCGGGAGCATTCCTAGAGCCTGGGCACGGCAAGGGGAGAGGGGGACGCTGTCCTGAAGGTTCTCCTGGGAAATGGACTTGGTCTGCTCGCCTCCTCCACCAGAGCTGAGGCCCCGACCACTCTACTCTCTGGGCTGCTGCCCCAGCCCACTCCCCAAGCCCTCCTGGGATTCCCGGAGGCCCAGTGGAATCTGGGGTTTTATCTACAGCGGGAGATGGCTCCACCTCGCCCCTCCCTGTGCTGTCCTTCCACTAGCAGGGCACTTCAGGGGGACGCTGCCCAAGGGCTGCGAGGTCACGGTTCAGTAAACCCAGGCCCCACCACGTCGAGCTGTGTGATCTTGGGCAAGCCACTTAACCCGTCTATGCCTCAGTCTCCTGACATGTCAAATGGGTACCATAAGGGTGTCTGCCCCATAGGCTTGATGAGAGGAGAGACGTTAATGCAGGTCAGCACTCAGACGAGCACCTGGCATAGAGGAAGTGCTCCGTAAGTGTCTGTTAGCTCCCGGTACTGCTGCCGGAAGGGTGGCAGCAAGGCGCGGGCCCGGGCACGCTCCACTGCCGTCTGCACAGACGTCCTACCTACTGTGTGTACCCGTGGGGCTCCGGAAATGCCAGAGAGGCTCGCTGGGACCCAGCGTGGCTCCGCGGCGCTCTGAGCCAGCCTGGGCCATCCCGCTAGAGCAAAGAAAGGCATCTGCACCCTGGTGCAGGAAGGGATGGCCACAGACGAGTCCCTACAAGGCCTGGTTCCTAAAACCAAGAGAAAGGGAAGTGAGCTTTTCCTTGGCCGCGTCTGGGGTTCCTGCCTGCAGGTGGTGGCTTCTCCACCGGGGACCCCTGCGCCCTGGCCCAGGGCTGGTCAGCAGTGGGCCCTCCGCGTTCTTTGATGGAGCCCTGGGCCTGCAGCTCCGGGGGCACGTGCACCAGCCACAGCCTCTGCAGGAGCGGCTTCTGCCCGCATGGCAGGCCTGGGGGGGGCAGGCCCCAGGCACCCCTCTAGGGTCCCACTGACAATGATCTGACCAGTCCCCCCCTTAGCCTGTTGCTCTGCTGTGGGAGCTGGAGGTAGGGACAGCTCTGAGGAGCCTGAGAAGGGAGGGCTGCTGGCTCGCTTCTTGCCTCCTGTGCCCCACGGAAGGGTCTGTTTTCAGCAAAGTTCAGAGGCCTCGGACTCCCCCTTCCAAAAGCATTCATCCTCCCCTCCACCTGCACCCCAGAACACACACTCATACAAATACACCCCACTCACACAGACACACACACACACACACACACACATCCACCCACAATGAGCTGCCTCTGTGGCCTGCAGAGGTCTCCAAACCTGGGTCAGAAGCCAGGAAAAGCCCGTGTGAGCCACCAAGGGTGTCGCTGACCGTGAGGAGCAGCAGAGTCCTTTCTAACCCGGCGCCACTTCCTCCCTCACCTGGGGGAAGGTGAGCCAGGGATGCAGCTGACGAGCATCCTCGCGCTCCAGCTGAGCCCACTGTTGGACCACCTCCCTAGGGTGTCCTTGTTCAGGCATCTCTGGCTGAGCAAGCCGAAGGCTGGTGTCCGTGAGTCTCATGGGCTTCTGCTCGCCCCTGGACCCAGCCAGCAGGCCCAGGCGTTTGGATCTCATTCCGAGTGCAGCGGGGAGCCATCGGAGGCCTCCTTAAATCAGGGATTCCTGTCTAAGCCCTGGCCCTGCCCCACATCCTCTACCCAGCCTGTCTACAGAGATGAGTTCAGTGAGGGATGGAGCTTCCTGGTGACAAAAGGGCCCCCCCCCAAAAGCAGGGACCTGTCTGGGTCTCCCAGCCATTGGGACTGAGCATGCCCACAATGGGCCTGTCAATGACTGGCCTGCGGTGCCAAGTGGCTCCACTGCACGAGGCATGCCAGGCAGACAAAGCCGCTCACCCCTGCCTGCCTCCTACCACCAGGATGGGATTCCATCTCCCACTACAGCAGGTGGGTCCCTTGTCGGGGGCAGGGCAAGGGGGATAAATGGGCCCAAATAAGCATCTCAGCCCAAAGCAGATGGGGAAACACAGAGCCCTTGCCCCTTCTGGGCCCAATCTCTTCTCAGAGGGAGGATTGTGGCGGGGGATAATCATGAGAGATACTGTGGCATGTGGGACTCAAAAGAAGCCTGTGTGTTGACCCCACCACTGAGGAAAAGCAAGCCCTGGACTGCCTGCGCCCCGGGGAAAAGGGCACCGGTGCTGAAGTTGGAAGACTGAGGCTTGATCCTACAGCCAAGCACAAGAATCTGCTCCCTGAATCCAGCCGAGGTCCCGAAGGAAGGAAGATGGTCCGGGAGCAGCCACGGCCATGTGTCGGTGCTCAGGGCCCGGCCAAAGGCGGTCCCTCCTCGGAGCACCCCAGCTTTGACCTGGCTCCCGGTACAGTTAGACACGGTGCTTTCCACTTGCAGCCGGAGAGGTTGGATTTGGCGCCTGGGGGGGGGGGGGTGTTGTTACAGGAACGGAGGGGGACAGCAGGGAAAAGTGACAGATGGGAGTGGCTGTGTCTCAAGTGTCTGCATCAGGCCCCACCTGGCCCAGGAAGTTTTGGTGCAGAGATAGCTCCAGTCTCAAGACCCCAGGGATCCCAGGTGCATTCAAGGTGACTGTCTTGCTCCTGGAAGCTCAGCGAGAGGCGGCTGGGTGCGGGGCTCCACTCCCGTCCTCAGCCCCCGGGCCCCAGCGGTCTTGTCCTCCTCCCGCCCAGCTC